CCAGTGCATCATTCTCGCACTAAGCACATTGATGTCAAGCATCACTTCATCAGAGATCATGTGGAAAAGAAAGATATCAAAATTGAGTATATCTCAACTGAAGAACAACTGGCGGATATCTTCACCAAACCACTAAGTGAAGCCAAGTTTTCCGATTTGCTTCACAAAATTGGTCTAATTCAATTAGACTGAATGTGGTGCACGTGGCAGTTCATTTTCCACATCTGTCAAAATGATGGGTGGGGACGTGGCCTTGGGAACAGTTAAAAACCCAATCGCCACTAGCCGCATAAATCGCCCACATTAAACCCAATCGTCACTATAATCAGACCTCAACTGCCCACTCAGCACACTCAAATCTTTCATCGCCTTCTTCACGAGAATCTTCTGATCAAATTCTCAAGAACCCTAATTTCTTCAGATCTTCTCAAATTTCTGAGAAAATGAAGGTTGTCGGTGCAAATGTCCACTTCCAGAAGTTAGAAGCCAAGTGCTCATCCCCGACATTCTTTCAAAGCTATCTGCAAATGATAGCCGCTCAAGAACTCTCTGAATTTCTTCAAATGGAGATTCGCCTCAAATTCGAGGAAGAAGTTCTTGAATTCTACAGAAATGGAGAGGTCAAAACTGCTCATTCAAAGAAAAACCCACAGAAGACGTTTCCAATCATCCAGTCCACTGTTGGAGGTACAAAAGTGAAGCTTTCGCAAAAGAAATTGGGAGAAAAGCTTCGCCTTCCCAATTCTGGAGTTGAAGTTGGGAAATTTCCAGTCAAAAATCTGGACTAGAACATCATTGGAATCTCTGGGCAAGTTCCTTCTGGCCCAGCGAAGAAAGCAGATCTAAACAACGATTACAAGTTGGTTTTGGAACTGGTCATCGCTTGCCTCGAGTGTGGAAGTGGAGGTCATGCCGATGACATCACCCAGGAGAGAGCCTTCATCATCAACTCTCTCATTACCAAACCTAAGGTAAACTCGGCTGCACACTTTTTCAAATCCATTTCAAAACATCTAGGAAAGCACAATCAGAAGTATCTCTGTCAAGGTCTGTATATTGGACATATTTTGGAATCTATGGGCGCTGCAGTTAAAGGGAAAAAGTATGAAGCCAGATACTGGCTGTACTACTTATCCTCCAAAGGAGAAAACAGAGCTAGTGCTAGTGCCACTGTAGAAGAAAGCTCATCAAACAATGTTCCACTCATCAATTTCGCAAAGACTACCAAGAGAAAGCATGTGGTGTCTCCCTCTCCCAGTGCTGAAGCACCACAGAATCTTGCTCCAATAAATCTTGAAGAAGAAGAAGAATCCTCTGACCAAGGAGAACTTCAAAGGAAAAAGAAGAGGAAGATCAACTCTCCATCTGGAAATGTCAATCCGGATGAATTGAAGGAGAAGGAACCTGCTGAGGAAACATCTGCTCAAAACCGGAGCCCTCAACAACTTGAAGAAGAAATTCCTCAAGTCCAAAGCCTTCCAACCTCATCACCTCAACCTCAAATAGATGATGCAGATAACCAATTCTGGCAGCTCTACTATGGTTGGAAAGCCTGGAAAGTTGGAAATTCAGCAGATCATCAAAAAGTGCTTAGGAACACCAGTCAACCACAACCGTGAACAAATTTTGGATGACTACTGGGTATGGCAAAGGAATCCTGAAGACTTGCATCTGGAATACCTGGCCAACACACAAGTTTCTGACTTTGAAGCAGATGATGAAGATCCTGCAGTCTTCAAGTCAATCTTCTCAAAAGACACAGAAGATCAAGTGGTTTTCACTTCTGAAGCACAAGGTGTTTTGGAAGCAGCAACTGAAGATTTCCAAACACTTCCGGAAACCTCACATGTTTCTGAAATGGTTCTAACTGAAGTTGTAGAAGAGAAGGCAACCTCTCCCCCACAAGAACAGAACCAGGAAACAGCAGATGAAGAAGAATTTCAGCCACTAATCCAATCTCAAGTTTTGGAGATTCTCACCACTCCTTGTGAGATCTCCAATCCTACTGAAATTGAGATCCCGGAAAAGTCAGCAGAAATTCCGGAACAGTCAGCTCTTCCAGAAACAATGGAGCAAGTTGTTGAACCACAAAGGAATTCTGGAGAAGCTGCAAAGGAAACTCAAATGGCAGAACTAGAGGTCTCTGAAACTCCAGTAGCCATTTTTGAAGAAGAGAATACAGCTGAAGAAAGAGACTCCCTCTCTAGGGATATATCAAATTTTGCGCTTGAAGCAGAAGGAGAGTCTGAAAGAACACTGAAGGTTACTGATGAAGAAGATGTACAAGAAGATGCTGAATCTCTTCCTATGCAACTCTTCCAAAGAACACCATCATCTCATCAGGTAACCAACTTTCATTTCCATAGCTCTTCCACCCCTACTCTTCCGGATGAGATACCGGAAATCTGGACAAAGAAGGTCCAAGGGCTGATTGAATCAGCCCTAGCATCTCAACATGCCTGCTTTAGGAAAGAGATAGAGCAAATGGAAGTCAGGCACACCCAGCTAATAGAGAAATCTGAAGGAAAACACAGCGCAGATCTCAAAGAAATAAGCAAATCAGTGCAGAAGACTCTGGAGATTATCTCTCTATTGAGTGAAACTGTGAGCAACACGATGGAAATATATGCCTCTGACAGTCAACTTCAACTCAAAGAGATCAACAAAGTCAAAGAGCAAATAGCGAGTGTCACAGTTAGTCTCCAAAAACAGATGTCCCTTTCTCCAAATGGACATCAGATCAGCCCTAGCAGTAGCTTCTGCAAATCAGGTAGTGACCAAAGACTACTTGAAGGTGATCATTGACAATCAAAAGGAAGCATACAAGCTGTTTAGACTTATTGGTGCAAACTCTGGAAACCGCAAGATGGAAGTAATTCTCCAACAACACAGTCCATCCCCAATACCACAGCTCCCTATTGCAATCAAAGAAGGAGAAGTATCTTATATTCCTTCTCATCTGAACTTGACAAATCTAATCCTTGAAGCACAGCAAAGAAATCCGGAAGACTCAGAACAGCTTCTATCCAGCTCAGGACTGGATGGAACAGAATTTATAGGTACAGTTGTTGACCACTTCTCAAATGATGCTCAATCAGAAGAGAGACGTGAAAATTTAAGGCGTATCAAAGAACTGTGTGGGAACATGAAGGGCATCAGTGAGGTTGCCGGATCTTCAAAGCGCAAGAGAAACTGAAGGTTCTTTTCATCAAAACAGGGGGAAAGTATGTGAGAACACTAATGTGTTTTGATGCAAACACCTTCTTGTTTAAACATTGCTTGATTGGTTTAAACATTGCAATATTGCTTCAACAATTTTCTTAA